TTTTCTGTGCTTAACATCCATGTGACCCTAAGTCTGGACAAAAGATCCCTTTCTATGAGTTTGGCTGGTACATCCCAGTCTTGTCAGTGGCATTCCTGCTCACCAACAACCCTACCCCCATTTACTAAAATAACAAAGTCGGTTGATCAGACAAAAATTAAAGAGAAGCAGAAAATTTGAGAAAATGATTAATTTATAACAAAACATGCCAAACAAAATCCTCACCATTTTATAACTTTTTCCTTGTTGGCCATATTGCTGACAAGGATGTATATAATCGTGCAATAATTTTAACCTACAGGACAGAGGACTTATTGGGCAAAAACCCAATCCAGTCCCCTACCCAAAATCACAAATTGGTTAATATCAAAAAAACAGAGCATTTATGAAAATGATTATACAAAACAAACACTATTTTACGACTTTCCTCTTAACATCAGAGTCCAAATGCAATTTCAGGGCCACCAACCCTGCTCTGAATTGTGACCTCCTGTGCTTGAAACGAGCTGCAGGTTCTCTTAATATTCATCAGCAGAGTTGCGACTTGGTCACAGAGCCATCCTTACCCTAGAGGTAGGATCATTGCAAGCAACTTTTCATCCAACATGCCAGCAGCCATCTCTGGTCTGGGGAGATTAGTGAAAGCGTCCTTGACAATTGATGCAGTCTTGATGCATTCCAGGGCCATGCGTCCCCCCCCTGGATTTCAACATCATTGTATCATCGAGTGTAGCAGGTCAGATTAGCCTTGTGTACACGAGGAAGGTGAGAGAATGGCTGTAAAGTGTTCAAGGTAGCGTGCGTGCTTCAACGCCTGTAAAATTTCCGATAATCAAACGTTGCATACTCGAATTGTTTCTTTTTCAATTGTGCTGCCTTGACATCTTGTGATTATAATATAATATTTATAATAATATTAATATTATTAACGATTACGAAAAGTAAAATATTATCAATGAAAATCTTGTAAATACCCAACAAGATCTGTTCCGCGTTTTGATTTCCAATTAAAATATTTATAATAACCAAAAAATATCAACACAAGTAAAAAAAAGTACCTCTGGTTAGTTATTAACACTTCTTCTTTAGGAGACCCAAACCAAACCAAACAACAACACTCACGTTTTGTCACCTTGGACTCTGTCAGAAAATAAATTGTTTTTCCAGAAAAGAAAAAAAAAAATCAATTCGCGTCTGTCCTATATACCAAAAAAAATACCAATAGGATAAATAATTAGCGTGTACGCGTCGATCAATTAAATAAACTTTTCTTTTTTCTTAGATTTCAAAATGCCCAAGGAATCTAACAAAAGAAGAAAAACAACCGGTCGTGAGGATGCGTTGATCGGGTAAGTGTTTTAAGGGTGGTGGTGGTGGTGGCTATCGCCACTCGACGTCACTCTAGTTATTGAGATTACTCTTTATTCTACATAACCAAACTTTATGTTTTATTCTATTTAAGTGATTCAAATGATGATAGTCCTGACGAAACACAGAGTACATCAGACCATGAATATCTTCCTTCTTCATCTGAAGCATCAGATGACACTTTTACAAAAATCAAAAAGAATGTTTATACTTTTGATTGTCTAGTAGGTCTCGGAGAAAGAATCTATTCAAGTAATGCCTAAATTTTAGGATTCAAATTTGATGGAAGACAATTTGTACTAAAAGTTTTTTGAATTTGTATATAGTGGGTAATTGATGATTATGATATCTCAAAATTATTAATGGAATACCGTGCATGCGCAATAAAAAATTCAACAAGTGAAAATATAGATATATCAGAGATTTTGTAAGTACTAGATTTTCTAATCCCTCTATTAGTTTAAAACTGTGGATTTTGTGATAAGATTGATTTATTCTTTATTCTTTCCTATATATGAAATTTCAGATCAATTAATCATATATTTCTCCTAGAACAAAACGATAATGCTGGTATTCAAATGTTTTTTGATTCTGATAAATGGAAGAAAATGTTTGTTCAAATTGTTTCCGAGTTACCTGCATATGAGATATCAATTGATGGTCTGGAGTGTTGTCATGTAGTTGGAAGAGTAAGATTTTTTGGAAGGATCTACTAGATATGTGACATTTGTCTTTGAAACTGATTATTATACATTTGTTCAACTAGGTTGCAAGTTCAAATGTCAATGAATGTGAGTCGTTGATAAGAAAATTAAGGAAAAAATATGGCAATTCAGAAGATATTATATTAGATGTTCTTTATTCAGTGTAAGCATTTTCATGATTGAACATCCCATATCATTTCCATTTTGACTTTTCTTACATATTTGCACTTTCCTCATCATGCTATAGTACCAAAATTTTAGAAAATAAAACAAGAAGTAGAAAAGAAGATACATTTGTGCATGACAATATAGAACCAATGTTAAACAATTTTTTTCAGAATGGCAAATTATATAGATGTGAATGGTAGGTATCTTAGTATTATTTGCATGTTTTGTGGCAACAATTACTGATCATACCAGTGTGCTATTACCAGGTCAACTACAGTCTTAGAGGAATCAGCACATCATAAAAAAAAATTTGATCCAACATTTATAGAAAATAAACCAGATTTTTTGGTTTATAATATGTTCAAAGAGTCTAATCATATTCTTTTAGTGATGGAAGTAAAACCTCTTGTAAAGCCTAATACAAATCCATTATTCAATGATCTAAGAAAACCTGGCAATGAGATGAAAGATATAATAGACAAGTGCATAGAAGATGGCATTTATGATGATAGGTTAAAAATTTGTGGCATATTGGTTAGTGTTGGTTTCCAGAATTAGAGAGTTTTGCAACCATGTGAAAGTCAAAAGGTTTTGTTATAAGTCGAAATTAGTTTTGATTTTCAACTATTGACTTTTGATTTAGTTTGACATATAACTTTTAATTTTAGTTTTGATTTTCGCCTCATCAAAATAGTTTTGGCAACCAACACTAATATTGGTAGAAAGCAAGCAAACAATCTTTCATATGTTTTTCTTTGTATAAACACTTATTTATGAATATAATCAATGCTTTTCTTATAACTAGGGCATGAATGTGATGTATTTGTGATGGATATCAAACATGATGCTGTATATAGGATGATATACTTGGGAAAGTTCTTTGCACCATGTATTTGTTATGATTTGAGTGTAACTTCTTCAGCAATTGAATTATTATCAACAATAAAGGTTGGCAAAGTATTTCTGGATGATAATTTCATGTCATATAATATACTAATTCTTTCATTTTTTACAAAAAGTCAATTGTCACAGAGTCTGCACAAATTTGTATTAATAGTTTGAGGTCACAAAACAATCAAAAGATAATAAAATGAAAAGTATGATTAGGAATTCTTATCATACACCAATTAAATATGCAGTGAAAAAAGAAATGGAAATTAAAAGAACATTACTGGTATGTGTCAATATACATGTAATTTTTCACCAATAATCTCTAATCATAAAAATTTTTTTTCACCATATAATATGCTTAAGCAAATAAATTCCTGGAGTCAAAGCTGAAAAACCTAAAATTAGTTGCTGAAATGCATGATTATATTAATACTGAACAAAATTTTTAAAAAATAGATTTATTGAAAATGTTTTATACAATAGTATAAATAATAATATAAATATTAAACTAATGCTTAAAGTTTACATTCAGTTGTCTTTCATGAATGCTGGTTTGGATTTTTGGTTTCATAAATCTAATACCTAAGTATTTCTGTTGTTCAAAAGTCAATAAATATTTCTAAGCTGCTAATTGGAATTTTTATAGATAACATAACATATCAACAAATGAAATCAACTTCTAATAGTGCTGTTCTATAGTAGGTCTGATATAGAATAACTTCATATTAATTATTTTATGCAGCGGTAATCCTATATAAAAAAAACGAAAAACAAATAATTGTGGTGGAATACTCTTACCACACCTACCTCGGTTACACGAATCCAAACCAAGAACCCATGACAGTCAGTAGAGATTCTGTACAACTTTCAATTCCGTACACTATTTTTTTTGCTCCGTATATTTTTTCTACGGAACGGAATTTGTGAATTCTGAAAATTTGATTGGTGGGGGAGTCTGTACGATCTTCGATTCCATATTTTTGTTTCATACATAGCATTTTTTACTACAGAGGCGCACATGTATGGAATATGGAACCTCTATAGACTCCCCCATGATTGGTAGAAAATATCTTAAAAAAACCTTGTCGTGTAACCGAGGTAGATGTGGTAAGAGTTTTTTCATTGTGGTGTTAAACAATCCCTGAAATTCTTGGTAATACAAATGTTCACTTGTCTGGTTTTGTTGCAGTATGCCCATTTAATACCAAATCAATAAAGTTTTCAAATGATATAAAAACTTATTTAGTACAACTTTGAAGAGAGATTTGGATATAAACTTTTGTCTAAGGATAGAACAATTACAAACCAACCTATTCTTCGGCTGCTTGATAATGATGATTGCGAGAAGAAACTTGAAGTTGAGGAAAGGACAAAATACGGTTTTTTGAATTGGGGAAAGTTTATTGTCGATTAGCCATACAAAACACTCGCTTTGAATTTAACTCCTCGAACCAAAGTATTGGAACGCAGTTTACACAAATTATGTTATCATAGACATGCATATAAAAATTTATCATAAAAATGAGTTCGATTAAATTTGTAAAAATTTCGTGAATTCTCAAAATTTTACATAATAAAAGAAAAGAAAGCTGTTTTTGTGTAAAATACGATGTTTCCAAACGCCTAGAAAATTAAAATAATAAAATAAAAATTTTCATTTATTTAAGTTTAATAAAGCTTTGGGTGCCAGCATACATATCAAAATATTTACAAAGAACAAATCGTTTGAAAGTTCAAATTGTTTTCAAATGTTAACGAAGCTTAGCATTCTTGTTTTTATTTTGCTTATTTACTTATTTTCGAATGCAAAATAGATTATTCTTTCAAGATGAAGTAATATCAATTATAAAACACAATTTTGTGGCCAATGAACCTGTATTGAAATTTTTATCGTACATTTGTACAAAGTTCTTACATTGTTTAATCGGAGAATATTTGAATCTATAAATTTATAATGTTAATACATTGACATGTCTCAAACTCTCAATATTATGTGGTTAATAATTATATTTATTTAGAAAATAAAACACATAATAATAATAAATAATAAAAATAATATATAAATATATCATAACAAAATACTAATTATAATAATAATTGTTATTAATTTTGATTTTTCAAATAATCTATTATTTGCTCCATTTCAAAATAATGTTGATTCATCTTCAACATATGGTCTCTAATCATTGACATGTGGTTAGAAATTGAAAGAATTAAATAATTGCTGTTATATCTGATGGCATTATTATTAATATTTCCAGGATTCAACAAAGTGCTATTAAAGTTGGGAGCACTGTTAGGGTTGGGATTTAAATAGGGATTGCTACCGTTATTATTGTTATTGCTATTAACGTATAAAAATTGTTGTAGTGGAGTTGTATTAATAATATCATTCGATGGTGGATTGTTGCTGGTTACATAAGGGTAGGTGGGACTATAACCAACATGAGTTAATTGTTGTTTATACATTTTTATTTTTTTTAAAAAAATGCATTTTTCATTTTAGTTTTTTGGAGCATATTTATAAGATTTTTATTTTTATTTTTTTCGGAGTAAAAAACTAAATAAATTACATTCTAGAGATAAAAAAATATATTTCCTCAATTTTTACTTATCAAAATCACTTTTGATAATAGATAACTGATAAAAAATTTGTTTCGCTTATCTTTTGATGGTAAAAATACTCCACACCTCAAAGTAAACAAATATGGTTGTAACTCTTTATTTGTTTTTTTTTTGTGGGATATAACTGAGGTGATATAAAAGGAAACTCAGATGTGAAAGTATAAGATTAAAGGAATGAACTTTAAATACTGTAATGATCGACGATCTAAAATATTACAAATTTACAAAAATGTCAATGAGAAAATAATTTCTTATCATCACTAATCTTGGGACATAAATATTCAGTAATCAACCAATCAACCAATTCATACGATTTCACAACTTTGGGATTCTTCGTGAAATCTTCAGTAAACTTTTATTTATAAATAAATAATGTGATTTATATGATTAATATCTGTAAATTAACTGCGGTAAAATACTCTTAATTTCCTTGTTTTTTTTTAAATTAAATCACCAAACCAATATCCATCTTTTGGTTTACGTCTTGAATCTTTAAATATTTCTTCTGAAGCTTTACCAATTCTAAGCAAGAGATCTTCCTTGTACCTTTAATACAAACAAAAATTTTATCAATCAATTTTTAACCATTCTAACATCGATGGTCAACTAATCAGCTAGCTAGTTACCATTTAGCCATAAATTGTAAACCGATTGGGAGTCCATTATCATCATACCCTCCTGGGACAGTAATTGCTGGAATGCCAGTGAAATTCGCCAATTGAAGAAAGTGTATAACATCTGTAGCGACAACTGAATCAACTTCACCGAATTTTAATGCACGTGGATGAATTTTTGGTGCCGTCACGGAACTAACTGGTGTTAATATCAGGTCTACTTCATTGAAAAGTGTTGCCAAATTTTTCATACTACGTGTTCTTACTTGTTGTGCTTGAACTATTCAACAACAATGTAAGACGAGGAAGAAAAAGGAAAAGAGAGAAATAAAAAACTTATTTAATTGAATGCGAAAAACAAATGAAAATAATTTAACAACAATACTTACTATAATCCTGAATATTCATATATTAAATAATTAATATTAATAAATTAGTTGTATTATAATTTCAAGACATTTTAATATTTATAATAGTAATTACCCTTCCAGTTATTTGCTCTAGTATAGCAAGCGTGAATCGACTTGGATAAGATAATTTATAAAGTTCATCCTTATAATTTTTCATTGATGTGTAATGTTCCGCAAAGATGTTGATCAAGTGGGCTGCTTGAACATCTTTCAGCTCCGGAATGACAATCTCTACAAAATTTGCACCTCTTTCTTTTAATTGATTAATTAAATTGTCAAGTGCTATTGTGATTGATTTGTTGTAAACTTGTTTATTCCATGCAGAATATATACCGATTTTCAGATCTGATAAATCTTTGGTCTGATTTAAATTATATAATGTTGGAGCTGGTTGTAAATATGTAAATGGATCCTACAAAGAAATTACGATTGATAATAAGTTAAATATAACATAATTAATTAAAGAATTAACGAATTAAAGAGTAATCTCTAACATCTTCATCTCTTCCTGCCATTGCATAATATGCCAAGGCTAAATCATCAATACATATTGCCATCGGACCAGATACAGCTACTGTCCAACAAAGCGGGACTATTATTACCAAATTAAAATAATTGGGATTAATCTATTAAAGAAACAGATCAAGTAATAAATAAATAAAATATAAAGAATTAAGAGGCATGCATACATTCTCCTGAATTAGAATTTCTTCCACATGTAGGTTTTAATCCATAAATACCACAAAAAGATGATGGAACTCTAAAAAACAATAATTAATCAATTTTTTCCTCTTGTTAATTTCCTCGTTTTCTCTTTTTATTTTGTTATCCAGTTAAATATTTACCTAATAGAACCACCACCATCACAACCAATGGCAATTGGGGTTAATCCTGCAGCCACTGCACAAGCACTTCCACCACTTGACCCACCACAATAGTAATCGGGATTATGAGGATTACGTGGCGTAAGCGACGAGGGATTATTACTGGTGATACCCAATCCGATCTCGTGCATTATAGTCTTTCCGACAATAATAGCACCCAATTTCCTCAAGTTATGAATAACAGTTGCATCTTTTTCACAAACATTTCCATCATTAATAAATGTTGTCCCAACTTTGGTTTCATACCCTATAACATCAAACTCGTCTTTTACCAGAACAGGAATCCCGTCGAGAAGTCCTAACGGTCGTTCGTCTTCATATCTTGCAGTTGATTTCTTGGCTTGTTCTATTACATCCTCTTTATTTATAATATACACAGCGTTTATTAGTGAATTGGATTCTTCGATTCTTTTAATTAATGCTTCACATACCTAATAACATCAATGATATTAATAATAATAATAATAACAATAATAATAATAATAATAATAATTGAATTTGTTATGCATCCTCTTATTATGTAAAGCTCCTTACTTGTAGAGGTGTGGTTTTTTTAGAAAGATAAGCTTGTCGAAAATCACTTGTGCACAAGTAGTCTTTTGTATCAACATTGTCACTTGGATTACTTTGATTTGATAAAATGCTAAATCCTTCAACTATTATATTATCCTCTACTCCAAAAACTTCTTTTGGAAAAGGTAATGGAGTGTTAGTTGGATGATCTGAATAACTTTTTGTTCTCAATGATCCCCAACCAGTTCTCGCAAAAAGAATTCTGGTGCAGCCGGGAACCCATTCAATAAAATGTGTTGAACATGCTAATGGAATATGGCTTAAATATATGTGTGTGTGTATATATGTGTGTAAAAAGAATTAATTGATATGTAATTGATGTAATTATGTTTGTGTGGTAATTAGTTAAAAAAAAATACCTTAGATATGGTGTGGGCCTACGAGCGGTGACCTATTTTTTTTTTTCGATGATTTCAAATTAATTATTTTGTATATTTATTTAATTGAAAAGATCATTTATCAATTTATTTATTTACCAATTCTAGTTTTTCCATTTTTTTTCGTTGATATAATGGTAGAGAAAAAATGGTTTTTTGTTTTTATCGTAAAGATGTTTAAAACTTTTTTTTGACTTTTATATAATTAATATGTATTGATATTAGATGCATTAATTCCAAAATTTCTCATGCGACAATTACCAAAAACGGACTGGTATCAGGCCATTTAATAATTATTTTCTCACATACAAGACATTTATTTCCAAAGCTTGCTATGACAAGCTTCTTACTTATTTGGTGGAATGGGAAATCTTTATTTGGACATAAAAGAAAAATCTCGCCAAGAATATTAACGCTAGATTCTCAAATAATTTCCAAATTAAACAATTGGGAAAATGCTGCGTATGTAACATTCTTTACAAAATGGGTTTTATCTTTTTCTAGTTTGGTAGTGGACGTGTAACTGATGAAATCGAGGAAGAGTTGTATAACAAACACCATCACTATTTACTATTTAAACTGCCAAAGAATTTCTTCCAGAAAAAAACATCAGGTGATTACAATCTTAGAGTAATATATATAGTAATACGTAACAAGTGTAACCAAATCAAAAAATCAAAAAGGTATATAATGGGACAAAAAATAATAAAATAATTCAAATTTTTTCAACCAACATTACTTTTTTCGATTTTCTTCAAATGGATACAAGATCTTTGGAGTACGATAAAAGTAGTAACTACTCAAATTGGATACTTTTGCTGATATTTATAATTTCATATCTATACATTGCCATTAAAGATTATTCAAAATGGAGAGAATCAGGAGGAGAGTCTTTTTTACAAGCTGGTAGCATCAGAAGAAAATTTAAGAACATTAGCAAGAAAAACAACGAAAAAGATAATAAGAATAATAACTATATTTATTATATACCAATAATTATTCCATTTGCGGTAATTTACTTGCTGATAAAAATATTTTATGATCTATTTAAATTATTTGTTTTTCATTCATTAGATTTTATTAAATATTTAGTTATGGTTATTATCAACAACAACAAAATATTATTAAGGTTTGCTGGTAAATTAATCAAGGATGCATCATATTATACGAAGATTAGTATTCAAAACTTGATTTATTATACTAGGTATATTTGCAATAATTATTTACTCGTGATTTTAGAGAAATTTATTTGGTTAAATTCGATAATTTTTGAGAGATTATCAAGATTAGTTAGGAGGGCAAATGCTATCTTTACCAAATTTATTACTGATAATAAGGAATATTTCATGAATGCTTTAGATTTTAGTATCAAGTTTGTCAAATATTTTATTGAGAAAGCAAGTTATTTACTAGAAACATTCATGATTTGCGTAAAATTAGTTATCAGAGATATTATAATTAAAGATCTCAAATATATAATTAATGATTTGATAGTGAGCTTTCTGGTTAGAAACAAATTAGCAATAGTAAATTTTTTATATTATAATCTATACATGGATCACACCAATTATTTCATCAATATTTATATTTATAATTTCTTGTCTGATAAATATTTAAGAAGTTCTATTCACAATATTATATCCCTAGAACAATTGATAGTTTCTAAATTTTTAATCCCTAGATTTTTAGCATTAAAAAATTTAATTTCTCGAAATATTTCTCTGATAATAGAACAATCAATAATAATATCACACAAATTATTTGATAGATTAAAACAAATTTTGTCGGTGGTAATATCTTTTTTCAATAAATTAGTTATGGAAAATTTTGTTAGAAAAATAAATATTGGATATATGTACAAGGAATTAAGTGAATTTTATATAATAACATTAATAGGTGCAGTAGTATTCGTGATAGACATTAATTATATATATTATTATAAAATTATTTCACATTATTACAACATCATTTATTATTATTATTACAATTATTTCATATTAATAATTATAAATTATTATCACAAAAGATTAGCAAAGATTTTTATCGCAATTTTTCATCTCGCCAAAATATTATTTAACAAATCTATAAATCTATCGATTAGCATCTTCAATTTCACTAAGCAATTTTTGATACTTGTCAGATTTACAGCTAACAAGCTTGTCAGTTATGCAAACTTTATTTTCATTGATAACAAGTTTGCAAAATTATTTTTAAATGGTCTCTGGCGGGCATTGATCAATTCATACAGCACTTTATCAAATTTTTATCACAATCATTTGAAATCAGTAATTTTGGATATTTATTTATTCATAAATTCCAAGATTCTTTCAAATTTATATTTAATTTTGGATAATTTTATTAATGGTGTTTTGGCGAAACAGTATCTTATTATAAGAGACATTCTAATCGAAAAACTGCCAATAATTATCAATGAATTGAAAACCATAATCGACAATTTCGTAATTTTCATTGGCCAGAAATCAATAGAATTAGTAAAGAGTGAAATCAATCAAGACGCAGCAACGGATCGAGGAGAACTATTTTCGAAAGAGTGAGTGATTGGATTACTTGAGAGACAAATTGTTATTGGTGTGGAGGGTTGAAAGGATTATTATTGGTAGGATGCGGGTCGGATATTAGTGTTAATGTTAGTATTAGTATTAGTATTAGTATTAAGTCATTAAGAGAAATTCAAATCCTCTCTCAAAACTTCAAAAAATTCTATTTTTATAGTTATCTATTTTATCAATCAAAAAAAAAAAAATGTATATATATATATATATTTAACCAAACAAACATTCAACTAAAATAAATAAAGCTTTGTTAATAAATGTATTATTTTTTATTTGTTGTCATGTTTTTTCACTATTTCTTTTTTATAGAATGAAACGTTATTGTAATATTAATTTCATTTATTAATGTGCATATCATTATGCAATATAAATGTTGGGATAATTGGGGATAAAAATATTTATTCCTGTGGGATATTTTTGTCTATAAATGCTATCCTCGTGTATTAGCGTGTAACAAAGAATAAAGTTTTAATGGAAAAGTTTTGTACAATTTGTTTAAATTAGATGTTTTAACAATGACTCACTCACCCCCACAACAACATAATTCATTCGGGTGGATCAAATTTAATTAAAAAAAGAAGGATATAGAATATCTGTAGTTTCATATTTTATTAATCAAGATTTCTTTCTTTTATTTATATAAATTATTATATAAACGATAAAAACGATAAGTAAAAAAGCAATTTTTTTTAAAAAAGACAATTTTCGAAAAAGTCTAAATATTTTTTAGTTAATTTTATTTTAATTAGTAATTGTTGGTTAGAGACACCAAGCAATTTGTTAAAAATAACTTATTATAAATATTTAAGTTTTTTTGTGTATGCGGTGTTGTGTGTGTTTAAAAAAATAAAATAAATAATTTTCTTTTAAAATTTTATTTTTATTTTTATTTTTTTGATATTATTAAATTATTATGAAAGAAGTTTTGACAACTCTAAAAAATAATATTGACATTAATATTAATAACGACAAAGATGTTTATTCAAAAACAACAACTACAACAACAACAACAACAGCAGCAGCAGCAGCAACAGATTCTTTTTCTCCTTCAACAGTTTCTTCAACCACCAATAACAACAAACATTCTTTTCCATTAACTGATAATAATTCTTCTATACCTCCCTCACCCACCACAACTCCTCCTCCCTCTTTTTTAACTTTACCTTCTACTTCTTCCGACGCGCCCTCTTCGTCAGCCACAATGACAAAAGCTTCAACCACCACCACCACTGCTATTAATGGAATAACAGCCACAACTAACTTAGCCACAACCAACGCCATATTATTTGACATAGAAATGACAAAAACTTCATTTTATTCAATTCTGACATTAATAGAACCATTTATTACAAATAATAAAGAATTGTATGATGAATGTTTAAATGGAGTTTTAGATATTTGTAAAGACACGTTAATCCAAATAGAAACAATCATTATTAAAAAGCCAAATAGAAAACAACAGATAGAAAATTTACGAGAATTTCAAGCGTTTAGTAAAATTATCGATACTATTAATGAATCATTCAATAAAACTGTCGATGATGACGACAACGATAATATTAATAATATTAAAGAGTTGTCGCATTCAATCAATCAATTAAACGTGGCATTAAATGATAATAATAATAATAACAACAACAACAATAATAATAATGATGATAGTCAGAAAAAAATTAGATCATTGAAATTGAATAACAAATTAAAAAAAACCTTTTTAAATTTAACAAAATTCATTTCAAATACATCCTCAACAAAAAATCAAAAAATAGATAATAGTAATAGTAATAAATCCTCAACAATAGAAATTAATAATAATAATAATAATAATAATTTAGAAAAGAATAATAAAGAGTTAAAAAAATCCGAAGAAAATTCTGATGAAGACGACGACGAAAATGAAGACGAAAACCACGATTATCAAGTTGAATACATCGAATCAGATTATTTACAAGATATTGAACCATCAGAAATTAAAGGAAGCAAAAACCATATTAAAAAGAAATTGTATGTAAATTATAAATTGGTTGCAGAGAAAAAAATCGGAAAGTTGTTTAAAGAACAACAATTGACTGAATTGAAAAAAGAAATTTTGTTTATGCAAGATTTATCAAAGAATTTCCATATTCTAGATTTGTAAGTAATTTAATCACATTATATATATATATATATATACACACACACACACACACACATATCACAAAAACAAAATATATCACACATACTCATTTCATTTTATTTTTAATAGTTACGGATATTCTAATAATAATTCAAAAGATTATTTTGTCATATCTCAATGGATGCAATATAATTTAAAAGATTATCTTGCCACGAATCCAACAATCCTTTGGCCTACTAAATTATCAATTTCTCGTGGAATTGCTGATGCTTTAACATTTTGTCATCAAAAAAGAATTTTGCATTATAACATCAAAAGGTAATAATTCATCAATATTGATGATGATGATGATGATGATGATATATATATAAAAAAAAACCCCCCATTTATTTTATTTTCTTTCCATTTCATCCTTTTAATTCTTTTTCATCTCAAATAAAATAGTGAAAATGTTTTATTGGACGAGAATTTACAACCAAAACTTTATAATTTTGGTACAAAAAAAGAATTATCTGTAATGTTGAAATCCGTAAATAATCTAAACAGTCTTTCGATTGCTTGGTGTGCTCCGGAAGTACTGGGTAGTGAAAATATCATTAAAAGCTATAACTCTGCAAGTGAAGTATATAGGTATGTTTTTTTATTAATAAATATGTTATAATAATGTTTTTTATTATTCTTGTATATAATATTAATACACCACGTACATGACTTTATTAGCTTTGCGGTACTACTTTGGGAAATTTCATCACACAAATTACCATTTAATCAGATAACCTCATCAAGAGACATCACCACAAAAGTGTTGCTTGGTGATAGACCTGAACCAAAATGCGTCGAGGGAACTCCAAAGAAATTTCAATCATTGATTGAAAAAGGATGGTCACATCTTGCTAATAAACGTCCAACAATTCAAACAATCTTCCAATCTCTCAACACTTTTGATCCATCTACTTTCCATAATATCAATGGTGGTAATGGTAACAATGGTAATAAAAGTGGAATTATTAAATTAATTGAAGGAAAATCAAAACCAAAAAACATTAATAAGGAAAATAAAACCAAAATTGCTACTAGCAATAGTAATGGTAGTAATAATAGCAATAAGATTAATGACAAGAAAAAGCTCAATGTCAAAAGCAGCAATAGCAGCAATAGCAGCAATAGCAACAATATCAACAATAGCAACAATATCAACAATAGCAACAATAGCAACAGCAAAATTAATATCAACATCAAAAAAAATAATAATAATAGTAATAGCAATAACAGCAATAACAACAGCAACAACAACAATAATATTTCCAACAGGAGGAAGAGCGGTGCAGTAAAAATCATCACTAACACTAACACTGCACCAAAAAATAGAACTATCAGCAATGGTAGTAGCAATATTCTAAGTAAATCTCCACCATCATTATCAAAGTCTCCACCAAAATCTCCACCAATCGCTTCATCGTCTTCTTCGTCATCATCTATTACATCCTCGACCACATCACGTGCCACAACGCCAGACATTTTATTGTATGATGACGACGACGATGAAGATGACGATATTGATGATATTGATGTTGACGATATAGACTATATTAAAAGTAGCAATGAAGACGAAGAACAGAATCATACAGTAGTAGAAGTAAAGAATTCGATTAATCTTGACAAAGCAATCAAATACAATAATTCAAAACAATTTTCAAAAGCATGGGAATTGTTTCAACAAGAATTCAAAAAGGAACCAAACTCACCAGTGCTAAAATATTGGATCGGCTTGTATTATTTAAAAGGTTATCATCATCATAACAACAACAAGAAAACATTTACACCAGATCTCAAAAAAGCCGTTCAATATTTGAGTGAGTCGGCCAAGAAAAATAATCCAGATGCACAATATTTGTATGCGGTGACAATATTGAATAATGGAATTGCAACTAAAGAACACGAAAATAATCGGTTCAAGGTTGCGATGAAGTATTTGTATAAAGCAAGTAACCAGAAACATCCTTTGGCAATGCAAAAATTAGGAAGAATCATTCAAAGAGGACAATTTGGCAAAGATGTTGATGTCAAAATTGGTAAAGAGATGGTTGATAAAGGCAGAAGTTTGAGTATGAGCACTAGAATGAAAACTACCAATAGCAGCAGCAGTAGTAGTAGCAACAGTAGCAGTAATTTTAACAATAATAACGAAAATGATGAATCGTTGAAAAAGAGAAGGTACAGCGAAAATAGTAGAGGTGTTACTTTTGCTACTACAACTACTGCTAGTAATAATAGTAGCCTTAATATTCCCGGAAGTAATATTAGAAAAAATAGAAATTCATTTGTGGCAACTACAAATCCTAATACCAGTTCTAATAATATTAATAATTCATATAAACGACGTACTGTTCATTATTAATTTGAGCATAATATACATAGTAATATATACATATAGTAGATAGATTTTTTTACATATTTTTTGTATAAATTATATAAATTTTTTTTATTAATTATATTAAATTTTTATAATGTATTTTTTTTTATTTTAATTCTCTGTTGTGTTAATATTTTTTTCATTTTTGTATTATTTTTTTATTTTCTTTACACACACACATATATATATATATATAATATAATATAATATAATAATTAAATACATGTAAACTCGATAAGTCGGCCAAAATTTTCACCCATTTTCTTAATATTTAAGTAATTTAAATTCGATAAGTCGGTTTACTCGATAAGTCGGTCATATGAGCTCACCCCCACATGACCGACTTATCGAGTTTACATATGTATACGGAGGGGGGGTTTGGTGTACGACGCGTCTATTTATTTTTACTATTATTTGTTATTGATATTTTTTTTTTTTCTCAAAAAAAAAATTTTTTTTGATTTTATCGTTAAATACAACAATAAATAAATAACAACTAAACATGTTAAAAGAAAGTAGCAGTAACAAAGACTTGGAAAACATTATTAATGAAAATAAAAACAGTAACAATGATACTAGTAACAAAAACGATAAATTAACTGCAAGTTTTTTTTCCCTTTTATCAGTGAAATTTATATTTGTTATTTATTTATTCATTTTCATCATTTATTGGATTTTTTTAATATTAGAATACCAATAAAGAAAATATTTATAAAACATATGTCGAAACTCCTTTAATATACAAAAAATTAAAACCTAAATTAAACGATTTAATTACCGATTATACTTGCAATAATAATATCAATCATAATAATGGAAAAGATCGTCATCTTAAAAGTAAAGGAAAAGAAATTGTTAATAGCAGTTCAAGTAGTAGCAGCGCTGCTAGTATTATTGATAGCGGAAAAAACAAGATTAATGGTAATGTAAATTTTAATAGCAGCACTATTAGCGCTGATGTTTGTAAAATTCAAGATGATAAAGACAAGACAGAGAACTCATTGAAAAGAAAATGGCAGGAAGAAGAAGATCAAGAAGGAAAAGACTATGATCATCATCAATCTAAGAAGTTTGCAAGAGAAAATGTGGAAAAGGAAGAGGAAAAGGCAATTAATGATCACGTTACCAATGATAAAAATGTTAATGTTAAAGATGATTATATTATTGGTGAACATGAAATAATTGCAATAGGAGTGGATCTTAGCGAAGATAAAGTTCCAGAAGATTATACAGGATCTTGTGACGAGGATGATGATTATAAATAAAATAATGCATTTTCAGATTCGTCTTTAAAGCCTTTTTACATTATTATTTTTATTTTTATTTGCATAAATTTGTATAGCTATGATTTAATTTGCTTTTTTTCTTTTGGCTTAAAATAAGTGTTATGGTTTATATTAAATAAAAAAAGCTACATTACCTATTCTTCTAATATATTCTAAATTTAATTTGGAGCATTTTTACTTTAAAAAAATGACCATGTTTGTAAATCGTTCATTGTATATACTGAGCTTGTTTACTTGTATGCAAAGGTTCGTAAACTTTGCAGACAAAGTTAATTATTAATAAATTTTACCGAGCTGTCTTTTTTTTTAAAAGAAATTAATAAGGGAACGATTATGATTCTCTTATAAAATTGTTTAAAATTAAAAATTCGTGGTCGTGGTCTCCAACACATGAAGTAAGTATATCTATGGTAAATGATTTCTTAAAATCCCATAATATTTCTATCTTATTTTGTTTGACAGTTATGCTTTATGAATAAAGACGATTAACCAGGAAATCTGTCACATTTTGACATTATTTAGAATATCAAGCAATTTTTTAAATCACTGGGAAAGGTATGTACAATCTTCGTTGGTCATTTTTGATTGCCAAATTGTGATGATAATAATTGTTTTTCTGACCACTGAAAAAGCTCGACTCGTGGAAATATGGGCCAGAAAAGAGCACCGCAAACTATATAGATAGTAATAGGTTACATACAAAAATCACGGTTTGATATAGGGTTTGACCCACACTGTGATTGGCTTAATATTCCAAATTTGGTAATTTTCACCAATATTGCATTTTCCAATAGTAAAATTTTGGCCAGCTGCGGCAGTAACCTATCTAAATCAACATTTTTTTTATTTGGTTCTCGTTGTTGCGGGTTCCTGCCAGAAGTTCCTTTTACAATTAATTTCACTAGTATATAGAACGATGACAAATCGAATAGATAGGTCGTTGCAACATGTCGATTGGTGTCGATTTATGGGTTATTTTTGACAGAAATTTCAAGTCTAATTCGGATATCTTTTGGTTCACTCGTTGATATTAATTAATTGATTGAAATGCTCTCATTTGTAATAAATCGATACTTTATTTTATTTTCAATGTTATAACTGACTTATTTAATTAATCAGACATCATTCAGATAATTATTTAAAATCAATCAGCATTCTGGCTGGTATTAACCATGACTTTATGTGTTATTCTTAAATTTATGAGTTGATTTTTTCAATAGTAATATTTAAAATAACCCAATTCTAGCCATCGTTTTGCTTCTTTTTTACCTCTTCTGAATTATCTTTTACTTTACCTTCAGAACTCGCTTCGTAACTATATACTTCTTTTATAAGATGCTACTAACTGATAGTTTTTAACTGACTCATTAACTACATTGGCTAAAGAACCGGTATAACCTGCTTTTGTCCAATCCGGAGAATTAGTAGGTGCATTTAGTTCATTATCATATTGTTTATTCTTTTACGTATATGAAGTACTCTTGTTTTTCTTGAAAAATTTGATCAATGATTTTTTTTTTTATTGGTTTTACCTTTATTGATTAATAGAAGTTTGCGATGGCGATAGCAACCTTATTATTATTTTTTTAATATCAATAGGTGTAAAAACAAATAAATTGCTTGCATTTTATATCTTTCCCGACTTCTGCTTCTTTCTCTTAAACCATGTCGCGGATTCTTTTTTTTTTTTTTGTCTTGTATTTTTTTAGTCAAGGAACAATTAAGTAAAGTTATTTAAACAATAGCCATGCGATAATAATAATTAAAAGATCCAAAATGAATAATCGATTACAAAATGGAGGCTGATTGATATTACCTAAATGCTATTATACTATTACCATTACTATTAATATTTATTATATACGTATTGTTTAATACTTATTTGTAAAAAGGTAAGAATTTGCTAAAAACGTTAGGGCAATCAATACCTTTAGACTTTTTAGTCGTACAAAACTGATTCATATAATAATAAGTATTCCATGTAAAATAAATAAACAATGATCATCAAATAATATAAATAAATTAGTTGACCTTAATTGTTTCAAATATTATATCGGAATGCAAGCAGTAAAAATATTCAATTCATTCATATATATATATAAATAGCCATTTTGGTGCCATCTAAAACTATTATAAATTAAAATATTAACACTAATCGGCATGACACCCGATCACGAATTATTTTCGTGAAATGATGAAAATTGAATTAATAAAAAACAACTATATACATATAAAGCTTTCTTTTTATGTATTATTACCGTAAAGAAATGCATTATATAATGAATAATATGCCTATTTGCATCCTTTTCATTTTTTCATATGTATGTGGTCACGAAATAAAATATAAATTTTTTCCTTTTGTTTGTATTATATCATCCATCATTATAATTTTACCTTATATGAACATAAAAGAAATAACTATAATAAAATTTTTTATCCATTATGAATTTCCCATCGTATCACATTTTTGAAAATAGGAAAAGGACAACCAACTTTTTAAAAATAAATGGTATTACCTATGGGTAGTGCAGTTGGAACATTCCAAACAATGCAAATCAATTGGAACGTTCTGATGGAGAACATCTGACGTCGTACAACATATTTCAATTTATCATCACATTTATCACACAAATGATCATCGAATTGGAATTTCCGTGAAAACCAATTCACATGTAGAATCTCAATGATATCCATTATGGATCTTCTTTACCATTCGATTGAGTACGTTTTACATTTTATTATTATGTTTATCCGAAATGTTGCGCAAATTAATGGATATGATTTTCTTTTTCATTTGATTTGGATACAAAAACTTCTCTATATATATATTTTGGGAACCAATAATAGACTTGTAGAAAATATCCCCATCCAAGAACTATGTAGGTACAATTGTATTATTTTTTGATAACGATATGACATATTATCTCAATTGGGTAAAATTAAAAACAAAGCTTAATTAGGGTTCTACTAGATCTTTTCATAAATCTTTGTTGAATTTTGAAAAAAAGTCTTGATCAAAGTTTGCAAACTTTTCCTAATTTGGTTAAATTTTTCCTCCTCTGTCTTTAATTCTTGTATTCAACTAATTCATAAACCATGAGTTTACAAGATAACTTGGGCCAAACTTTCATTATAATTAATATTTTAAAGATTTATTTGATAATATTATGCAAATAATAGTAAACATTCAATTAAAAATTATGCAAGACTCCACATATATATATATATATTATATGTTATAATTAATAAATTTAGACAATTACAGCATGAATTTCTACTATTTCAAAATACTTTGAAAATAACAAACCAAACTCATTTTCTGTTCTACAACTAACTTCAACTTCTTTTGCTACAATTTTTTTAACGCCTGATTTAGAAAGGATAAAGTTTTCCAATTTTGCTAAATTATCTTTTTGCAACAGAAATTTAAGATCTGGTAAATCTTCTTCATCGTCCATTTCTGATTTTTTGTTGAAGTCAAGAGAATTGGAATCGGGTGATGATGGCAAGTAAATCCATTCGTGTGGGTCATTGATGTGATCAAGTTCTGTGGTAATATTTTTTGGAGTTAACGAATTAGGTGATAAATAAAATGTTACTTGATGATGTCCACGCTTAGCATGACGTTTTAAAAATGGTATAATAACATCTGAGCATAAAGTGTTCATTCTAAAAATTGATTATTTTTTTTAAAATTAATATTATGAAATTAATGTTAATATTAATTTAATCAATTTAATCAATTTACCTTCTAAGAGCAACTAAAATAACAGTGTCTTTCAACGATGAATCTTTGTTTTGGTAAACGGTCGAATATCCACTTAAAGCTGATTCGTAAGAAGGTAACGTATCCTCGGCATCATCTTCCAATGTATTATCGCTTTGGTATGGTATTCCAAGATCTCCCATTTGTAATATTACAACTTCTCGAGCAACATTTCTAGGTACGCACAGTTTGCCATGACGAAGATAATCAAGTATAACACCAAACGCCAAAGGGTTATGATCAATAAATATTTCTTTTTTTGACGATGTGTTGGATACTAGTTTTGCCAATTTACTATCTGGAAAAGATTTAGCAAGTTCTTTTTTTATTTCAAATTTAGTGCCTCCAACGTTAAAGGTTACTGTTGACATGGTTTATTTTTCTCTTGATTAATGTGTGTTATTAGTTAAGTTAATTAATAATGTGTACGTATATAAATGAAGTCTAGGTTCAATGATTTTTCTTGATGGAAAAGATGGAATGAATCAAATGACAATTTTAATTTGTCTCGGAGTTATCGTGATACATCCGCAAATAGCAATATTAATAGTTATGTGTCTCGTTACACATCAGCACCCTATGATCGCTAAATTTGCTATGATTAATTTGGAATGAGATGTTTCGGAATTTAAATGAATCACAATCATGGATGGAACACATGGAATACTTTTTTATTTGAATTAAAATGGAAATTTTTTTTTACTTAAATAGTTAAGAATTTTCTCTGACCTTTTGCCCTTGTCACAAAAATAATTTTTTTTTTTGAATTTCAAACTTTAATCCTTTTTTTTACCTTCGATAAAAAATAACCACAAAATTTAAATTTAAATTAAAATTGAATTTTAATTGATATTTAAATTCTCTACAATCCTAAAAATTCATAATTTAAAATTATAATTATAATTCGTGATCATGTATAGAATCAGGTATAAATTTGTTTCTAATTAATATATAACTTCATCTTTAAATAATAATCAACGGTAATTAATATCTTTCTATCTATATACGCATATGTTTTACGTACAGTGATCCAAACCAATATTTGGTAAAAACTGGTGCTTTTATCGATGATGTTAAATTATGTAAAAAGGCATGGATATTCCCTGGCCAAAGGTCCATGTTTTTCGACATCACTCCCGCGAATTACACTTTACAACTTCAAGCTATGACTGCAGAAAAATTGGAATTCAATCTTCCTGCTGTGTTTACTATCGGGTAATTATAACAGCTAAATAAATAATCTTTACGAAAAAAAAAAAAAATTGTCACTAAATATTCTCTCTATCCATTATAGTCCAAAAGATGAACACAAAAGTCTTGAACGTTATGCCAAATTGTTGGCAGCACATGATAAAAGTTCAGACCATGTCAAAGATTTAGTTAGGGGTATCATCGAAGGTGAAACCCGTGTAATTGCTGCGGGCATGACTATGGAAGAAATTTTTCGTGAAAGAAAAGGATTTAAAGAACAAGTCATCAAAAGTGTACAAGCTGAATTGGATTAAATTATGTAAAAAGGCATGGATATTCCCTGGCCAAAGGTCCATGTTTTTCGACATCACTCCCGCGAATTACACTTTACAACTTCAAGCTATGACTGCAGAAAAATTGGAATTCAATCTTCCTGCTGTGTTTACTATCGGGTAATTATAACAGCTAAATAAATAATCTTTACGAAAAAAAAAAAAAATTGTCACTAAATATTCTCTCTATCCATTATAGTCCAAAAGATGAACACAAAAGTCTTGAACGTTATGCCAAATTGTTGGCAGCACATGATAAAAGTTCAGACCATGTCAAAGATTTAGTTAGGGGTATCATCGAAGGTGAAACCCGTGTAATTGCTGCGGGCATGACTATGGAAGAAATTTTTCGTGAAAGAAAAGGATTTAAAGAACAAGTCATCAAAAGTGTACAAGCTGAATTGGATCAATTTGGCCTATTCATTTATAATGCTAATGTTAAACAATTACAAGATACTCAAGGATCTGAATATTTTGCTTACATGGTAAATTTCTTTTTCTTTAAATTTTTCAAAAAGATTTACCTGAAATATAGAAACTAAGGGATTCTTTATTTTTTTATAGCGTATGAAAACTCATGAAGGTGCTGTGAATCAAGCAAAGGTTGATGTTGCTGAAGCTAAATATAAAGGGAATGTAGGAGCTAAAGACCGAGAAGGTTTAACGGTAAGTTTAGGTTTTTAAAATAATTAATATTTCTATTTATTTTCTATTTATTTATTTATTTGTTTGTTTGTTTGTTTGTTTATTTATTTTTTGATAGGTAAGATAAAGCTCAAAGATTGAAGCTGAAACGGTTTTAGCCGAAAATGAACGAAAAGTTACCATTGCACAAGCGGAAATGAATCTCAGCACTAAAAAATCAGAATATGAAAAACAAACAAAAATAGCTGAAATTGAAGCCACACAAGCTGCAAAGAAACGTGAAGCTGAACTTCAAAAAGAGGTCGAAGAACGTAGATTATTGTCAGAGACCGAAAGGCTTAGAGTCCAATATGTTTCTAAAGCTAAAGCTGAATTTGAAGCTAATAAAGCAAATTCTGATGCTAAATTATATACTGCTCAAAAAGAAGCTGAAGCTGCACTATACCAAAAACAGAAAGAAGCCGAAGGTGTGTTATCTTTGTATAACGCTCAAGCCGAGGGTATCAAAAATTTGATGTTAGCATTTAATGGCGATACTCAAGCAGCTGTTCAATACATTATGATTGAACGCGGCGTCTTCCAACAATTGGCCAAAGAAAATGCTTCGGCAATCCAAGGCCTTAATCCTAAAATCACTGTTTGGAATACTGGCGGTGAATCTGCTCAATCTTCTAATAACCCAATCAACAGTATATTTCAATCTTTACCTCCACTTTTATCAACAATTCAAGATCAAACTGGCATTAAACCTCCTACTTGGATTGCTCAAATGTCTGATAATAACACCTCTTCCACTTGAACTCAATAGACAATTTATTTTCTTTGCTTAATAATCATTATAATTATATATATCATTCTTATTATTATATATTTTATTACTTATTTTACCATTGTATATAAGCTGAATTGGAAAGCATTTTAATATAAAGTTCTATTATTAATATTAATAAACCCATCATCTTTTTAGAAAATCAAAAATTTTTATTATTATTTGACGAATAAAAGTCACGTGAATAAATAAAATAAATAAATTTTTTTTTAAAGAAATTTAAATTTTAATATAATGTCCTTTCCACTTGACGATTACCTTGCTAAAAAATATGGCGGAACATCCTCCTCCTCTTCTACCTCTTTAACAAAAGTTCCAAAAAAAAAGAAAAAACAAAAAACTTCAAAAGCAACAAAAGCAACACCGAAAAGTATAATTGGCAATTTTTCCATTATTGATGAAGAGGAGATAACCGAGAAATGGAAAAATGTTCAGTCAGAAGATGACGACGATGAAGTTCCTGTTATAGGTAAACGGTTGCTTTAAGATTATGTAAATATATTAATTACTTTATCGTAGTTGTCAGACTAACTTCTCCTCCTTTTAATTTAAAAAGTTGTTGATGCATCAATCATGGAGCAAGAAGAAAGAAATAAAAAATGGAAGCCAATCGCAATCGAACCAGAGGATGAAAAACCACAACTAGGTAAATAGAATAACAATAATTGAAACTGAATTGAATTAAACGATTACGCAATATAAAGACAAATCTTTCATTAACATAGAACATTAAACTGCTTTTAGTGTTACCATCAAAAGAAGTTATGGAAGATATTATTTCAGCAACAACAACGACGGCGACAACATCAAACTCTGCTAAAATTGAAGATAGCACATTAAATGAAAATACTACTACTTCCTCTGCAAAAAAACGCAAAAAAGCTAGATCAGTATCACCTACACCTAAAATGTCATCAGGTTTGAGTGCTGGTTTACATACATATGATAAAGCACGTAAAGAAATGGCTTTGGTTGAAAAAAAAAAGCGAGACGAGCTAACAAATTTAGATCCATCGTTATCTGGTAAAGGTGCTGACGTTATACATCGTGATAAATCAGGTAATTAATAAAAAATTTTTTTTGCTTTTAATTTAGATACACACATACATGTATTTTAAAATATTACTTTTGCTATTGCTATCTATCTAGGAAGAAAAATTGACATAGTAGCACAAAGAGCAGAAGAACGCAAGAGAATTGAAGAAGAAGAAAAAAATATGAAATGGGGTAGGGAAGAAGAAATCAAAAAAGAAGAAGTATTGTTGAATAAACCATTGGCAATGTATGTTTACTAATATAGCACAATCTTTTATAAAAACTTTTTTGTTTGTTATTAAGTTAAAGTTAAAAGCATATATTATTATCAATAGATATAAAGATGACGTGGAATTAAACGAGGAATTGAAAGCAAAAGGACGTTGGAATGACCCGGCGGCAGATTTCTTGAGTAGTGTAAGTGTTATATATGTGTGTGTGTGTGTGTGTGTATATAATTAGTTAGAATAATAATTTTTAATTCTAATCTATCTATTTATTGATTAATTTAGAAAAAGAAAAAAAAAGGGTTGGAAAGACCACGATATAAAGGACTACAACCGCAACCAAATAGATTCAACATAGACCCAGGCTATAGATGGGATGGTGTTGGTAAGTTTGATTTTCTAATCACGTTATTATTACTATTGTTATCATTATAATTAATGATAATTTGTTTAATTTAGATCGGTCTAATGGATTTGAAAGACAATATTTTGAAAAAATCAATGATAGAATTTCACTAGAAAAACAAGCATACAGTTGGTCAGTTGAAGATATGTGAAAATAATATAATAGATAAAGAATCAGATTTTATATATTTTCATTGAAGATAGTTACAAACAGACATTTTATTATCATTAAGTTAGATTATATTTATTCAATTAATTATTTTTTAATAAAATATTTCAATATGTGTGCGCTCGACTCTTTTTACATTAAAATATTGGAAATACCATACTATCCTAATCATTACAAGTAAAACATTACAATATGTAATATTAATAATTCTTCAGAAGAAATGTTTCTTTTTATAGTTATCTTTAGTCTCTAGATTCAGAAATTAAAGAAGATCATTCATTATTCTTATCCATTGCTTTATCTTCATTATTATTATTATTATTATTATTATTATTACTGGCACATATATACTATAATTATAATTACGATTATTACGTTTTCACGATAAAACTACTATTATCTTTATAGATCTACCATGTATTTTTATTTCCACTCAAAGTTGTGCATTTTTACGAATTTTTACTATTGAAATCAAAATCCTACTACACATATATATGAAAAATGAAGATTTATATATGTACTGGTAAATCATATTAATATGATGTGGAACACCTCAACCGAATATGTATAGTAATCTTAATAATAAACCAGAAAAGCTCTCAAATTATCTCAATGCTCACAAACATGTAAACTGAAATGTCTGTTTTTTTTATAATGTTGACGACATTTGATGATTGAACTTTAGATGTTTCGGTTGGGTTTTTGAGTTACAAGTGTATTTATACTTCTTGAAGTATTATATTTTTGTCCAAGAATGATAAATGATGGATGACTAATTGTGATTATTAATGCTAAATGCCAAAAACGCGCTATGGATTCATTGATGACTGACTCCTTGGATATATAAAAAAACTTGATTGACAATAATTGAGACCCCAATTTACTATCCTCTTCTACTAACAATATTGATGTTATCGGGCAATCACTATTAAGCTATTTCAAGTTCTTAAATACCACAACAAAGACAAACTTGCAGCATAGAAATAAATGATACGTTTTGTTTTGTTTTTTTTTTTATATTCTAAAAATTTAATTTTAAATTTTATAGAAAAAAATGATGAATTTGATGTTACATCCCAACAACATACTACTTCCAAGAATCAATTTACATAATAACAATCTTACTCTTGCAAGCTCTTTCACTCCTTGACTAATTCTGATCAATTAGATGATACATCTGACCAATCAATTAACACACCTGCTTCAGCAAGTGTATCTGATATACAAAACAAAATGGAATACTTTGTCAATTTCCTCAAGGAAATTTTTAGAATTGTACTATAAATTGTTTATTTTTATCCAGTTTAAATTTTATGAAATAAAATTTTTAAAAAAATGACAATCATCAACGCACTAATTACACTACCGCTTTATATCAAAGCTCACAATTGTTGTCTTTTTTTACTAAAGCATTTTGCTTTCAAAAAGAAATAAAATAATGTTTTTATTTAAGAGTTTTATTATGATAATGGTTTTACAGGGTTTTATTTTATTTGAATGTTAATGTGGTATTTGTACACCCTGTTTGTTCAAGTGAGAACCCAAACAAAGTTATCTTCTACTCCCACTTTTTCAAGTGAAGACCAGAAGTTCATTCATTATCATTAAGTTGGTTGAATGTCTAATAAAAATTTTTATTATTATTCACATTTTGTCTCCTCATACTAGTAATAATTATCAAGCTAACAGATTCAATGTATAAAGTAATTAAACTGTAACTAATGAAAAATATGTGAAAAATATATAAAGAAAATATAATAATCTAACATTGTATCTATCTATTATATATTTTTTTTATCAATTATTTGAAAAACTTCCAATTTATCAAATCTACTACCATTTACTATATTGATATTACTATATGCAAAATTATTAATAACAATAGTACCCTTAGCTTGAAAATAAATATCATTCCAACCAAAAATAGCTAAATGTGAAGGACTGCAGTAAATTGCATGTTGATGATGTTGATGATTGATAACATAACTAAATTGTGCAGTATTAATATTATTTCTATTGCTTATATTAAATATAAAACTTTCAGTTGTATTTTTATAATCACTTCCATC